AAAAAAATATTGCTTTTTAGGAATGAAAAGCCCCCGAACATCCTTCAGAGACGGGGAAGGAGCATCCCGGCCGTGCCGCACACCTGCACAGGGTTTATCCGCTCTGCTCCGCGCATCCCAAACTTTCCTGCTGGAAAAACTTTCGTGCTCTATTTAACTTAGAGACTTTACCGGCGTGAACTGTCTCGCGGAATTTACTCCTCAGTCTAATACTGCGAGGGGAAAGTTTAGTGTTGTTACAGCTTTCCTTATTCTTTTTTTTTTTTTTTAACAATAATTTCGATTTGGCTTTCATCCACTTCCTTTCTTTTATGATAAACCCGAATTAATTTGATTTCTATCGTGCTGGGAGAGGGCAGGAGGAAGGCATTCCCTGTGTAGCTCCGGTTTTTAATTTTCATGTACCCTGGAAAAATCTTGGAAAAATGTGTGCCCCTACTTGGACCCTTTCTCTAAATCTGCCCAAAACCCCAGACTCAGACACGGCCTAATAATCTCCCTATAGATTTTTTTTCCCCTTCGTAATTCCTCCTTTTTCTCTTTGAAAATTGTTTGTTCTCGGGATCGGCAAATAATTTTTGTGTAGGACTTGGGTAGCTGGGACTTCCCGTGACTTCAGAGGGATTTGGGGAGAAAACTGAGGATCAGGGAGGGGAAGGTCCTTCGGCCTCGACACTTTTCCTCATTTCCCAAAACCACCTGTCCATGGAGAGTTCTGACATTAAAAACAGCCCTCGATTTATTATTATTAATATTAATATTACTGGTGGGATGGGCTGGGGGAAAAGCTGGAAAAGTTCGGGTTTTGAGGAACACGGAGAGGGAACCCTCTTCCAATTATGGGGGTTTTGTCCGATATTACCAGGAAAATGAGGATAAAAAGAAAAAAAAAACAGCAAAACAAATCAGTGAGGGGAAACAAATCAGTTTGGGGACTGGCACGGGATAAACACAATTCCGGGTCCCTGCTGTTCCCAGAGCCCGGCAGCCCCTCGGGCTGTATCCGGGAGGGAATATTCCCGGGATTTCATGGAATATTCCCCGGGATTTAATGGAATATTCCCCGGGATTTAATGGAATATTTCCCCGGGATTTCATGGAAAAGCACATTTCTGTTCTGTGCAGAGCCGGAGCCGGGTCAGGCTCAGCCCAGGGACAGGGAGCCACGGGCACCCCAAACCCTGTCCCAGTCCTGGGAGAGCTTCACTTTAGGAAGAGAAAGGAATTGGGTTTAAAACCAGCGTGGAACAACGCGGGGAGAGGCAGGGAGTCAGGGTAGGTTCGCTGCAGTTTTATTTAATGCAATTTTAGAAGTGAATCAGCTGTCACGGTGAGCACCTGGATTATTAAAATGCCCTGGTAGGATCATAGGCCGGTATTTGAAAGTTGTTCCCTAGAGGAGCTTTATTTTTTTTTTTGTTTTCAGTATTTCAGTAGTTTGCATTCTAGATGAAGAGCAATAAGATAAGTTTAACTTTTTCTGCTGCGTTTTCTTCCTCCCCTTTTCTGAACTTTAGAACAATTCCCTCGTGGGATTTTTAAAATTACATTATATGTGCTTAAACAGCTTTAAAAAATAAAAGAAAAGCAAAACGAGTACAGAAAACCCAAAGTGCAAATCCTGATAAGGGCTTGAAGCAGACACCACCACAATGTGAACCAAATTCAGCAATTTGGATGTCACTGCTGTGTCCAGACAGGGTGACTTGTCCTGTGCCCCAGAGTGAGCAAATCAAAGCCAATTTACCGAGCTTTTGAAGTCAGCCGCCTGCTTTTTAGTTATTCTTTAGATTGCAAAATTATTAGTGAAGTGCTAAATTCATCTGAAGGCAAGTCAGCTCTCTGCCATCCCGGGAATATTGCCTAACCTGGCTGGGGTTTAAGGCAGGCACAATAGGTGGTGGATTTTCTGGCTTTTATTTGCTACAAAATGCTGAAGTTTTGTCTGGGTTTTGGTTTATTTTTTAATTGGCAAATGTCATAAAAGCTGAATGTTGAATTAAAAGAGCACTGCTTTATTTTTTGAGCTTGTGGGTTTTTATACTGGTTGATAAGTAGAAAATACCTACTGAAAATCAAAGTTAATAAGCAGAGGAAAAACTTGATTTAAAAGAAAATAATAGCAAGAAAAAATGTCCAGTTAGAGAAACCACAAAAACTGTCAGACCTTTTTCAGCTGTCACTTGTTGTGCTTGGTGGGGAAACCCTGAGCAGGGCTGGGCTCTGCTTTTGCCCACTGTCCTTTTGGGAATCTCCTGCTTTCGTGGTGTTTGTGCTTTCCTGGAGCTGTGCAGCAGCCCAGGCTGTTGGTCTGTGTGCTCTGAGCCCCTGTGAAGTGACCTGTGAATTCCCTGTGCCCTTTGAAATCCCTGAGCCAAAATCTCCCTTCCATCAGCCGAAAGCGCTGTGAATTAGGAGAAGATTTCCAGATCCCCTTTGCCAAAGGATGCCGCGTTTGGAGGGGACACCCAGCAGAGCTTTAGGGTGTCCCTGCTGCCGTGCTAACCCCTGTCCCTTCCTTGCAGGACACCTGAGCCCCACGGCCTGCACCCTGAGGAAGCACAAGACCAACAGGAAGCCCCGCACGCCGTTCACCACCTCGCAGCTGCTGGCTCTGGAGCGCAAGTTCCGCCAGAAGCAGTACCTGTCCATCGCCGAGAGGGCCGAGTTCTCCAGCTCCCTCAACCTCACAGAGACCCAGGTCAAAATCTGGTTCCAGAACCGGAGGGCCAAGGCCAAGAGACTGCAGGAGGCCGAGCTGGAGAAGCTCAAAATGGCAGCCAAGCCCATGTTGCCCTCGGGGTTCAGCCTCCCTTTCCCCATCAACTCCCCCATCCAGGCTGCCTCGCTGTACGGCACATCCTACCCTTTTCACAGACCTGTGCTCCCCATCCCGCCCGTTGGACTCTACGCCACTCCCGTTGGATACAGCATGTACCACTTATCCTAAGAAGATCCGACAGACAAAGCCTCAGACAGACAGACAGACAGACAGACAGACTTCCTGGTGGATCCTGTCCAGCCCTGAGAAGGCAGAACCCCAACCAGTACTGGCCATTCCTTCTGCACGCTTCTATCTGGCATCCTGAGTTGTTCTGGGAGTTTGCTACGGGTTGGGCGTCTCCTGAGAGTGCTCTGAGCACTCAGAGTCTGCTCCTCAAAGCAAAAAAAAAAAAAAAACCAAAAAAAGCATAAAAATCAACAAAAAAATTTATTTGTGAGTAAATGTAGGGGTTTTATCCAGTGCAAGTAAAACTAGGTTAAAAAAAGAGTGGGTGAAAAAGCAAATTTATCATACGGAGGCAGAAATTCCCTGACACCTTCCTGGCGCGGCCCAATGGGTTTAAAATGAGAGGGGTGAGTGCCCTTGAGCCATGCTCTAAGTTACCATCCCCTCACCTGGGGGCAGGGGGGAGGGAAATAAAAAGGTCTAATCGAAGTTTTGTTGTTTGGTTCGTTCTTTTGAAGACAGCAGAGCCCGTAGCTAGAGACGTGTAAATAGAAACTAGAGCCGGTGGAGTCTCAGTGGAGTTCAGAGCCAGCAAATTCCTGCATTTCTGGGGGGAGGGAAAAGTTTTGCATCCCGAACCTCGGCGAGATGAGCAGCAGGGCCCCTAAATGTAGAGCCCAGCTTTGCCCAGCGTGGCTCCTGTGATGCCTTTCTGTGTATAAATAGCTTCAGCCTTTGTAAAGCACTGGCAGGGGAGGTGAAGAGCAAGGGAGGGCTCTTAGGCAGGCTGGTTTTTATCTCTTCCTATTGGCATGCTTAGAAACTTTTGGCTGTAGCCAGGTAATCTTGGCTGTGCAATGCTCTTGGAAAAGCTGGAGAGAAGGGAGAAAGACGTGGGTTGTTCCCAGAAAGGATTGTTGAATCATTCCGGGGGATGTTATGGGGTTTTTATGATTTGTGTTTGCCACAGCCTGTGTTAAAGAGAAGAACCCCGTGAGTTTTCTTCCATTCTGAGGATGCCAATAGAAGTGACTCGTGCTTTGAGCCCTTCCAAAGAGAGATCCGGGTGTCACAATCACCCCATGAGCAGGGCAGAGGGGTGACAGAGACTGTGTGACCTGCCTGTCCCCGTGGTGGGAGCTCTGGCAGCAGCTTCTCCTTGTAACTCTTGTATTATTTGTATTACTCTTGCTAAACTTTATGAGGAAGTTACTCCCAAGGCTGTGGAGCACTGAAGTCAGAGCTTCTCCTGGATTTATTTTCTTAGCATGCTGTTGTGGAGGAAAGAAATGAAACA